TCCTCCTCCTCCTCCTCCTCCTTCCCGCCGTCCCCGCCCTCCGAGGGAGGCGGCCGCCCTCGCGGCGCCCCGAGATCCACCGCCGGGGGACAACGATCACAGCGGTAACAAAGACAACAGCGACAGCAGCGATAACAACGATAACGTGTTCGATATCGTTGTTGCTGTCTTTGCCGCTGTTCTCATCATCGTTGTTATCGTTTTTTACCGTTGCGGTCGTCGTGATCGTTATGATCGTTGTCGTTGATCGTTCTGATCGATGTCGTTGTGGTCGTTTTCGTTGTCTGTGTGCACCTCCGAGGGGGGTAGGTTTCGGGTTCGAGGTCCGAGGTCCGAGGTGTTCGGGCGTTTTCGTCGGTTCTGGTCGGTTTTCCCAGCCTCGGGATGCTTGCCAGCAGCTGCGCCTCGCCGCGGTCGTTCTGGGGGTGCCCGGATCGTTCCGAGCGCCCGCCAGAGACCCGGGTACTGACCCAGAAACCAAAAAGGCCTTCTCAGAGGGCGGCTGGGCCTTCTCAGAAGCCCTTGCGCCTTTGAAAGGTTCTCTTCGTCTTCGGGGAAGGCTCAGACAATTTCTCAGAAGGCCAGGGGGACTTCTGGCCTTCTGAGAAGGCCCGCCCCTTCTCACTTCCCGCCCCTCGCTCGCCACCGAACTGTGCGCACCTCCGACGATGCCCCCTCGGGTGCGTGTTGGGTGCATCTTGGGGCCACCTTGGGGGTCTATCTTCACCATCCTGGAGGCCATCCTGGCCCTCGTGGAGGCCACCCCGGAGCAACCTTGGGACCAACTTTGGGTCCGCCCTTACAGTCAAGATGGTGGAATGAGGACCGCTCTTGGCTCCGGAGGGGCTCGGGCTTCCAGGCCGTTTCTTACATGTATGTCGGTCGTAGAACCTGTTTGTGGCCTAGGCCCGCCGTGACCAGAAAAGCGCCGTCGTTCCTTACTATGCGTTCCAGGTGGTAACGCGACGACTGTGCCCCCCCTCGTGCGCGCCGCCGACGAGAGCCTCGCGCCCGCCAGCGCCGGAGCCCGCATGCTGCGCCATGGCGGTGGCAGCTGGCCAGCGCTTGCGGCTGCGTGCGTGCCCCTGGCGCCTCGCGCGCGGGGCGCTGGCTGGCCGCAGGCCGGGTTGAGCAAAAGCTTCTCGGCCACGCGCAGAGGGGGGGGGGTACGGGGGAGGGGAGCAGGCTTCTCAGAAGCGCACCTGCTTTTTAGGCGGCGCGGGCCGTGTCTGCACATGTAAGGCCCGCGCCTTCTAAGAAGCGCCCTCCTTCTAGGAAGCCCTCCCCCCTCCCCCTACCCCCTTTGTGCGCGCCGCCAAGAACTCCCCCGCGAGGACGACGACCGACGGCCCACGGCGACAGGGGTGCCTTGTGGGGAGGACCCGGGGGCCTTTGGGCCCTGGGGTGCCTTCCAGCAGCCGCGCCTCGTCGAGAGTGTCCTGGGGTCTCTGGGAGCCCTCATCGGGGTCCCGTGGCGGCCCCAAGGGGGCCTCGTGGCGCCCTCGTGGAGGCCACCGGCCAAGCGGGGGGGGGTGGTCCTAAGTTTTTGTAGGGAGCCAACAGAGGACGTACGCGCCCAGCTATGTACATGAACACGGCCCCTTGACCCGCGAGACCTGCCGCGCGATACGAACATTCGTTCAATGCGAACTCTCGAAACCAGCGTGGATTCAAGTACATGTACGTCCTTCTTTCGCTCCTGATTTTGCCCCCCCCCCTCCCACCCCCCCTGGGGCCACCAAGAGCAGGCCCTGGTGGGGCGCCCTTGGGCCGAGGAGGAGGAGGAGGAGGAGGAGGAGGAGGAGGAGGAGGAGGGAGGAGGAGGAGGAGGAGGAGGAGGAGGAGGAGGAGGAGGAGGAGGAGGAGGAGGAGGGAGGGGGGGGAGAAGCCTCCCACCCCCCCTGGGGCCACCAAGAGCGGGCCCTGGTGGAGCGCCCTTGGGCCGACTTTGGGCGCTCTCGGGGGCCGCCCAGCAAGGGGGGCCCACGGGCTCACTCAGGAGAGAAAGAAACACACAGACACAATTAACTCTCGATTCCCCAGAAAATATGGGAAAATATGGGAAGTGGGGGGGAAGACAGAAACCCAGAAAATATGGGAAAATATTGGGAATATTTTTATTTGTGTGTCTTTATTTGTGTGTCCTGGGGCCCCTTCACTCACGGCGGCCGGTGGGGCACGCGGCACGCCCCCCCGCCCCCTCCGTGAGCGCCCGCCCTCCAGGGCCGTCGCCATCAACGCCGAGGAGCTGCTCGCCCCAGCCTCGGGCGGGACGGGGAGGGCAGGATAGGGAAAGGGGGGGGGGTGCGATGAAGTCGGGCACGTCCCTCCGCAGGAGGAGGGTTCAAGAACAGTCCACGCATGGTTTGGGAGCGATGCTTCTACCGTTTTGGACTGCTTTGGAATTTGTTTGGTTCGGGTGCTTTTGTACTTCCGCCCAAACTGCGCCTGTAGGAGGACATGCCCGACCTGAGGTTACGCAATCTGCTGCGTGCGGCTGGTTTCCGCCCCGCCGCTGGGTCCATTCCTCGATGCAAGGGCGCCTCCCGGCGCCAGGAGCCGCCAGATTCTCTACCCTGCCTTTTGCTATCCTGCCTTTTCGCCCTCCCCCCCCCCCCCCCGACAGACACCCGGCGTCGTGCTTGTCCTCAGCGTCGGCCTGCGAATGCCCTTCTTCTGGGCCGCAAAACCATCACAAGACAATCCAGGGCGAACAACATCGTGCTCAAGAAGGGCCGGTAGGTCCAGATCGAAAAATTCAAGATGTCGGATGTCTGGGTCCTCGTCCATCTCCTCGTGGTCGTCGCCAATATCCTCCTCCTTCTCCTCGTCCTTGTGCTCCACATGCTCCACGCAGAGGAGTTCAAGGAGCGGACGCGAGCAGACCTCGGGCTCTGGAATGCTTCCGACACGAGGCATGACAATCGTGAGAAGCGGGCGCTGCGAGAACAGCGCCCCGCCTACGATGAGGCGATCCACGCCCGCATCACGGAGGTGGTCGCCTGCATCAGCCGGCGGGAGTACGAGGCTGGCTGGGAGGCTTACATCAGAAGGCCACGAAACGGCGTAAATACAAATTTTCGGAGCTCCGCGCGGGCTACTGGGGTCGGCGCTGGGCCCCCCTCCTCCCCGACAGACCCTTGGCAATACCTCCGGTGCACGCCGCGCGCCGGGGAGTCGGAGACAGAAGCATGTCCACGAAGCTATGCTCGCCATCACCACCGCGCACAGTACAGCTGACATTCTCAGGAGGAGGTTCGCGAGCGTGGGACGTTCAACAACACATGTACCGCAGGTTCGCGTCGTGTCGACGGGCGGCGACCCCGCCGCCGGCGTTCAACGTTACACGCCGCTGCGACCCAGAATCGGTCGATGTTGAACGGTCTGATGTTTCGGAAACGGCCGATCGTTCGGTGGCAAATCATGGGAGCGCGTTATACCCTCTCAATTCCGTCTTTAGCATCGGCTAGCTTCGATTTCAGCGCCTGGAGTCGATGAGATAGCGCCGATTTAGCGTCGGTTTCCGTCGGTAGGCGTCGATTTAGCGTCGATTTAGCGTCGACTAGCGTCGATTCGCAAGAGCCGACCCGATGGTATGGGAGGCCCCCATGAGCTGCCACCGAACGATCGTTCAAGGGTGAACGATCCCCGCGGTGTCAGGAGCCAACGCCGAAGTGGGCACGACACGAACCCACAGGAGGAGGAGGAGGAAGAGGAGGAGGAGGAGGAGGAGGAGGAGGAGGAGGAGGAGGGAGGGGGGGGAGGAGGAGGAGGAGGGAGGGGGGGGGAGGAGGAAGGAGGAGGAGGAGGAGGAGACGAGGAGAAGGAGGAGGAGGAAGAAGAAGAAGACGAAGAAGAAGAAGGGGAGGAGGAGGAGGAAGAAGAAGAAGAAGACGAATAATAATAATAAGAAGAATACGAAGAATAATAATAATAATACGAATAATAATAAGAAGAATAATAATAATAAGAAGAATAAGAAGAATACGAATATTAATAATAATAAAAAGAAGAATAAGAAGAACAATAATAATAAGCAGAATAAGAAGACTAATAAGAATAATAATAAGAAGACTAAGAATAATAATAATAATAATAAGAAGAAGAGGAGGAGGAGGAAGAAAAATAAGAAGACGAATAATAATAATAAGAAGAATAAGAAGAATAATAATAAGAATAAGAATAAGAAGAAGAAGAAGAAGAAGAAGAGGAGGAGGAGGAGGAGGAGCCACTGTCTTTCGGGCGAAGGCCCGCACAGACCTCAGCGTGTGTGCGCTCCCTGCGGGAGGGGTGCGACCGACGCACTCCCCGCGCGCGCGGGGACCTCCCAGAGGGCCCCGGGCTACACTGCGAGGGCGCCCGCCCGGACGCGTCGACGGAGGAGATCCGCACCGGCTCGCTCGACCTCGGCATTCGAGTGGGCCGGTGCGGATCTCCTCCGTCTCGCGGCTCTTCAGCACGTGGCGCCCGTCGGTGAGCGGACCGCCCCAGGCGGTTCGCTCATCGACGTGCGTTTCGCCGGGCACGGGCGCCTGTTTTCGGGCGTCGAGTCGTTATATCCCGCCCGTGGCCACCCAGGATGCGGTGCCCTTCGCGGGCGGGGTGTGCCCCCAGTTGTGCTTGCACCGAAGTGCCCGTTTGCTAGAGGGTGTCTTGTCCATCCTCGAGAATTTGTGCCGTGCATGCCGCTCGCGGCTCTTCGGCACGTGGCGCACCGGGGGGACCCGCACGCGGCGCTCACCAGCACCGCCCTGACGCTCTGCGCCAAGGCTCGCTGGGTACAGCGCGGCTGGGAGGTCTGGCACGCGATGGCCCCGGGAGAGAGGTCACTGGAACAAATCGGGCGTTGCGAAATGGAGGGGGTGAAGAAAGCTGCACGCTTCTCGCTCCCCCCACTCACCGCCCCCCCAAAGGAAGCAACGCCCGAATGAGCGACCTGGTGGTTAGTGCGAGGGTGACTACTGCTGTCTCCTTCCGCAGTTAGAAACCACCCAAACAAGCCTAACCCACAATTCGTAATCTACGTGGTGGTTGGCCAGTTATGCAGGTGTTTCATGTTGGACCCCCCCGTCGCGCTAACCACCATTCGAGATTACGAATTGTTGGTTAGGGATTTAGGTTCCATCTTCTGCTGATTCAGACTGTTTTTGCACATTGGTTCAACCACCAGCGCCCCAACCACCGTCTCGGAAATCCCCAGGTCAGTCGTCGACTATTCGATCATGATCGACCTCTGCGCCAGGAGCAAGCCTGCAACAATACATAACGGCGTGCACGTGAACTCCGAAGCTCCGCGCGGGTTTCTCGGATCCCGGCAGTGTGGGCATCACCCCAGCATGCTGATGCTGTGTGTGCGTCGCCCCTCCATGGAGCGACGCGCGCTCCCGAGAAGTGGTACAGCACCTGCGTGCTCCATGGCGGGCGCTTTCTGGCCGTACCGCTGGGGAAACGCTGTACTACAGGATGGTTGAGTTTGTTTCGCATGTTTTTGTGTATTTTTCATTTTTCCTGCAACATCCGCTTGTAGGAGGACGTGTCCGACCTAATCCTTGGCCGCTTTCGCCAGCCGCGCCCCGCTCGCAGAGTGTCGACAGGGCCTTCCATGGCCCTTGCATCCTCATCGGGCGCCCTTCTTATGCGGGCTGGACTGTAGTCAAGGGAGGAAGCCACCCGGACCCGATGAGTGGCGTTGACCAGACGGCCCCGTGCGTTTACGAAACAGCCCTGCCCTCTTCGATGTTTTTTCTCGGGTGTGCATGCTCACGGCTTCGCGTGTCGGGGCGGTTGTCATGAGGGTGGATCTTCTGCTCCCTACAGTCGGGGCCCTGAAGAAAGAACCCTTTTTGTTGGAGAGGGGCTCCGTGTTCCTTAGTTGCTTTACAGTGCTCCTTGGGTTTTCCTGAGGTTTTCCATGGAACATCGGAGTTTACTATATGGGAAAAAGTGGCCTCGTTCCTTATCCATCGTTCCTTAGGTCAACGCCCCGACTGTATGCATGTTGGGGCCGGACGCACGCCGCCGAGGAGGACACGCCGTACTATTATATGCCCTCCCGCGCTCGACCGGCGCCCCCCCCGGCGGCGCTTCCGGCTCCGCCCCCGGCGCGCTCCGCGCGGCATAATTCTGCGCGCCAGCATCGGGGGGGGGGGGCTCCGGCGCCGACCCTCGGGCGGCGGGCGAGGGGGGAAGTTTACCAGCCTCGAACGTCTCCCTATCCCTAAGATTGACACGCCAAAAGGCGATGACAATCTCAGGGATTCGCCCTCAAAAGATAAGGGAATCCCTAAGATTGGCATCGTGATGGGGAGATGTCCAGCATAGGGATAGGGAGATGTTCCAGGCTGGTAAGAAGTGAGAAGGAGAAGGTCTTCTCAGAAGGCGGCGGGGCTTCTCAGAATCCCCAGGGGCCTTCTGAGGCGCTTCTCGTGTCTTCGGGGGAGGCGTAGAGAACCTCTCAGATTTCCGGGGGGACTTCCGGAACCTTCTGAGAAGGCTCTCTCCTTCTCTTTCCCCCCCTCGCGCGCCGCCGAAGGAACTCCGCGCGGAGAACCGAGAAATGATGTCTCCGCAGTTGATTCGCTCCTCGAAGAACAGAGCAAGGCACAAACATCAACCTTCAAAGCTCCGCGCGGATTTCTTGGGGCGGCGACGCGCCGGATTTCCCCGCGGAGTTCTGGAGCTTTGCCGTCGCCGACAGCCGACGCCGTCGCGGTCATCCTCGGTCGTCGGTCTTCGACCCCCCTTTGAACGGCATAAGACGTAAACTTTGACGGTCCGCGCGGACTTTGGGGATCTGGGCTGGCCTCCCTCCTTGGCGCGCGGAGCGCGCCAGGGGCGGCGCCAGCGGCGCCTCTCGGGGGGGCCCAGCGCAGATCCACGAAATCCGCGCGGAGCTCCAAGAGTTTATGCTTACGTTTCGTTCTCGTCCTCCAGTCACCCTGGAGGAGTCAGCGGTCCATCAACGCCGAGCAGCTTTTTCAGTCGATGAGGGAAGCGGGCGTCAAGCCCAATCTGATCACGTACAACTCGCTGCTGAAGGCGTACGCGACGACGTCGCAGCCCGAGCGCGCCCTTGAGGTCTTTGAGGGCATCCCGCGCGATGTGCTCGATGCCGCCGGGGAGAAGACCAGGCATCAGCATCGGGAGCCTTGAGACGAGGGTCAATGCGAGCAGGGGTCAGCCAGAGCGCTGGATCTTGCAGGATCCTGCAGAGTTGGGGATGCATTGACCCAGGTCAGCGCGCAGGATCCTGCAGGATCTTGCAGGATTCTGCCAAGCCTCACTGGCCCGGGTTTGCATTGACCCGGGTCAGTGCGTCCCCGAACAGTACCGTCTAACCAACGTATTCCCATCCCCACCTGGCCACGGGATCTCAGCCCCACTATCCAACCTCCCCAGTTGGGGATAGACCCAGCGAAACCCGAAGGGGACAGCCTATATCCCCATCCAGGGGGGTACGTCGGCCATTGGGGCCCAGACCACGCCAGCGGGGATAGGGATCGGTAAAGCGATACTTGAGGCAGGCGAGCTACGGGACGGTCATGTCCGCGTTCGCCCGGTGCGGGGACTACGCCGGCACCTATAAGGTATTCATGCGGATGCTCGAGGATGGCGCGCGGCCGAACCTCATGCACTACACCGCGATGCTTACCTCCTGCGCGCGCGACGGGGACGGCACAACTGCGGACGGGGTGTTTGCGAGCATGCTCGCTGCGGGAGTTCAGCCTGACGTGCCGGCGTATGCCCAGGGCGGTCAAGACCACACAGGAGGGGAGTTTTCCCTGACAGGAGGCGTAGAGTACATTGTTGGCCCGTGCCAAGAAACACCCTGCTTGCCTCTAGGGTGCCCTGGGTTTCTTGGGTTTCGAGGGTTTTGCTGTGGAAGGCGTGGCGTTCCCACACCAAAAAATCAATGGGCATCCTTGGGTCTCAGGGTTGGGTTTTTTGGTGGAAGGTTTCTTGTGGACTGGCCTCGACTGTACAGGGGGCACAGTAAGCAAGACATCGGCGTGCCAGCAGATGCCCTACATCAGTTTCTTATCCCCCGACGGCAGCAGGGACCCTCAGAAGCTCAGGGGCACCTTAGGGCCTCCTCTTCCTCCCTCCTCCTCCTCCCTCTTCCTCCTCCTCCTCCTCCTCCTCCTCCTCCCTCTTCCTCCTCCTCCTCCTCCTCCTCCTCCTCCCTCTTCCCCCTCCTCCCCTCCTCCTCCTCCTCCTCCTCCTCCTCCTCCTCCTCCTCCTCCTCCTCCTCCCTCTTCCCCCTCCTGCTCCTCCTCCTGCTCCTCCTCCTCCTCCTCCTCCTCCTCCTCCTCATCCTTACCTCTTACCTGTTTGCGGAGGAGGGTCCATTGAGCCTCCTCCTCCTCCTCCTTCTCCTCATCCTCCTCCAAGGTCGACGAAGAATGTGCCCCAGGATTTTTTCTGGCACGAACTTCTTATCGCATGTGTCTCCCGTACCACTGCCCAGCCCAGTCCAGCGGATCGGCGGCGAGCGAAGGGGGGCGGGGCGAGAAGGGGCGGGCCTTCCCAGAAGGCTTGGAAGCCCCCCGCCCCCTGGAATTCCGAGAAGTTTTCTAGGCCTTCTCCGACCACGCAGAAATCCTTCTCAGACGGCGCGAGGGCTTCTGAGAAGCCCCGCCGCCTTCTGAGACTGCCTCCTCCTTCTCACTTCCCCCCTCGCTCGCCGCCGACCAGCGAAGGCGTTCAAGGTTGAACTCTGCGACGCGGTTGCACCGAGGGACACGGCGACGCCACTGGACCCTGCGGAATTCAATCTTGACCGATCGGGGCCGCGATCGATTCAAGGCGAAACGATCGACGCGGTGTCAAAAACCTCTGCGCGCGCCGACGCCGCACGGACCTACCGCAAGCCCACCAGCCTCGGCCAGCCCACCGCAAGCCAACCAGCCTCGGTCTTTCTCACTGGCAGGGCTACGCCAACTCCTCTCCAAGGCTCCCGGGCAGGCATTCCCGGAGCGCCTTGCTTGACCCTGCAGCGTGTCCCGAGAAGCGTTTTCGTATTCGATCCCAAAGCGCCGGCCTCGAGCCTGCCGCGGCTGCTTCGCAGCTCCCTCGAACCTCCTCCGAAGCTCGTTTTTCGGAGGTTGCAAGCTCGCCGCCGAGCATCACCGTCCGGCCCAGTCCAGCGGAGCCCACCAGCCTCGGCAAGCCCGGCCCGAAGGACGTCGCCTCCGGCCTCTGTGTTCCTGTCTCCGCCCTGGCCCCAGACCTCCCACGCCGTGCTCCTCCCGTGGCCTCGGGGGCGGCCCCCGGGGGCTCGCAGAACAGGAAGAGGCACCCATACCCGCATCCTCCGCCCGTTTTCCCCTTCTTCGCCCTCCTGGGAGGCCCCTCGTCGCCACCGCTGGATTCGGTCCGAACTCCTGGTCAGAGCGCACCCGGGGCGAGGTCCGGGGAGTATAGCGGTCTCGGTACCTCTTGGTCTCCCCAGGTTCGGGAGGTCAGCTGTGCCGTCTCGGGTGTCTGGGGTGAGCGGAGGGAGCGGCTCTCTCGGGCCAGGCGAAAGGGGGGGATTGGGAAAGGGGGGGTTACGAAATTTGCTGCATGCAGCTGGTTTCGGCCCCGCCGCCGGGACCATTCCTCGATACATGGGCGCCTCCCGGCGCCCGGAGGCGCCTGGAAAATCAGCTACGTGAGCTGATTCTCAAACCCCCCCTTTGCTATCCCCCCCTTTCGCCCGACCCGACTCTCAGAGGAGGCAAGGGTCCAGACCCCCTCGAGTCAGGAAGAAATCACGACGCGAGGTTTTTGGCCATTGCCGGGCTTTTCGGGCCCTTACCTCAAGGCCTCGGGACCGTCACCAGAACGACTCAGGATGAGGAACCGGTGCCGGGGAATGAGTCGAGACCTCTGGAGGTCTCGAGGGCTTGCGGTGCGCGGACGGAGCGGCTCTCAGAGGAGCAAAGGGCACCGATACCACCGATACCGCTACTCGGCGGCGAGCGGGGGGGGAAAGTGAGAAGGAGAAGACCTTGTCAGAAGGCGGCGGGGCTTCTCAGAAGCCCTCGCGCCTTCTAAGATGCGCTCTGTGTCTTCGGGAAAGGCTGAGGGAACTTCTCAGAAGGCCGGGGGGGACCTCCGAGCCTCCTGAGAGGGCCCGCGCTCTCTGACTGCGCCCCCTTCGCAACGCCGCCGAGCTGTGCTTGCTTCGTGTGCCTTTCGGGGGGCCTCCTGGGGGGGCCCTCGTCACCACCGCTGGACTCGCCGCAAGACTCTAGTCAGAACGCACCCCTGGGAGAGATCCCAGGATTAGCCGTGCCCGTATCTCAGTATTTTTGGGTTTTCCCCAGGTCGGCTCTTCGTCCGTATATTCCTCATCATCCTTCCCATTCCTCGTCGTCCTCCTCCTCCTCCTCCCTCCTCCTCTTCCTCCTCCGACTCCTACTTCCCTCCCCTTCCTCCTCCGCACTCCTTCCCTCCCACTTTCCCGTGTTCGAGTGGGTGTGTACCCCGCTCGCTGGAGCCCCCGAGACGACATCCTCGAGGAACCCCCGACCCCCCCCCTAAGGGCGCCCAGGCCACCAGAGGTCAAAGACGGCCGCTGTTTGGGGGCATATGCTTCACCACCGCTACCATAGGTAGGAGAGGGAGGAGGTGGAGGAGTTGGAGCAGGAGGAGGAGGAGGAGCAGCAGCAGGAATGATAATCACAGGAAGTTCAAAAATAATACGAATAATAGTAATAGCAATACTAATGACACTAATACGAACCATAATCATAATCATACTTATGAATCATACAAATAATAAGGCGACTAATAACAATCTCAGTAGTAGTATGAATAATACGAATGAGAAATATTACAGTACTAATAGTGATAGTACGACCAGCAGTACTAAGACTATTAATGCTAAGAAGCATGATAAAAATAACAAGAGGGACATGACTAATAATAATAATACTAATAATAATAATAATACTGCGAACGCTAACAGTAATGATAATACTATTACGAATCATAACCTAATAAAACATAGGAGGAGGAGGAGGAGGAGGAGGAGGAGGAGGAGGAGGAGGAGGAGGAGGAGGAGGAGGAGACAAAAGAGGAGGGGGAGGAGGAGGAGGCGGACGAGGAGGAGGAGGAGGAGGAGGAGGAGGAGCAGGAGGAGGAGGAAGACCTCTCCATCCTCCCTTCTTCCCCATCCTACTTGTGGTAGTGGTGGTGGAAAATGAGCCCATCAGCTGTGGGCGCTCGTCCGGCGGCGCGGGAGGTCTGGAGACGTACGATACTGGTCAGCTGCCACAGGCCCCGCGGAGCGCGCCAGCTCGGAGGAGGGCCAGCTGAGACAACGGCATGTGGCCTCCGGCTCGGCATCGCTCGGATGTGTGCATTTGCTGTCCTCGGCAAGGACCCTCGAGGAGTATCGAGGATCCTCTTGCGAAGTACTCAGCGCACAAAGCCGGAAGTTGCACGGGTGCACGGGTGCGGTGAGACCGCGGTATGAAGATCGAGGTCGGGTCGGACAGGGTGCCACGGTGTTCTTCGTGTTTGTTGGACGCTCTTGTGCATCCTGGGGAGTGCACCCTCGGATGTTCTGTCTGTTTTGGCCGACGGAGGGTCTCATGCTCTTGAGGACTGTTCTTCTGGCCTAGGCCCGACTGTAATGGGCGTCTGCGCGACGGCAAGTTTTTGGGGGGGCCGATTCTGAGCCGCCGTGGTGTCTCAGCTCGCCCTCCTCCGGCAAGAAGCGGGGGCGGGGCCCGACCCACCCTTTTGGGCCCCCCCCCGATTCGGCGGCGAGCGAGGGGGGGAAGTGAGAGGGAGGAGGCCTTCTGGGACGGCGGCGGGACTTCTCAGAAGCCCTCCCGTCTTCTGAGAGGCCTTCATGTGTCTTCGGGGAGGGAAGGCTTGGGGCACTTCTCAGAAGGCCCGCGCTCTCTGACTGCGCCCCCCTCGCAAAACCGCCGAGCTGTCATTTCTTCGTTCGCTTTTTGGGGGGCCTCCCGGGAGACCCTCGTCACCACCGCTGGACTCCCCTCGCTCGCCGCCAGCCGATGCCTTGTGGGAGGGCCGCCGGCTCCGGCTCGGAGGCGCCTCTCGTGAGAGGGGCGGCGGCCCTCGAGGCAGCGGCCCCCGCTGGCTCTCCCGGTGGGGGCGGCCGCGGACCTCCTCGAAGGGCTCGGGGGGGGCCTGCTTTGAGGCCGGGCCGCAGAGGGCTCGAGGAGCTCCTCCTCCTCCTCCTCCTCCTCCTCCTCCTCCTCCTCCTCCTCCTCCTCCCCCTCCTCAGACTCCTCCTCCTCCTCCTCCTCCTCCTCCTCCTTATCATCATCCTCCTCCTCCTCCCGCTCCTCCTTCTCCTCCCCCCCACCCCCCCCCTCCCCTCCTCCTCCTCCTCCTCCTCCTCCCCTCCTCTCCTCCTCCTCCCCTCCTCCTCCTCCTCCTCCTCCTCCTCCTCCCTCTTCTGTCTCTCCCTCACTCCCCCTTCCTCCTCCTCCTCCTCCTCCTCTCCTCTCCTCCTCCTCCTCCTCCGTCCTTCCTCCTCCTCCTCCGCCTCCTCCTCCTCCTCCTCCTCCTCCTCCCCGATCTCCTCGGCCCTCCTCCTCCTCCTCCTCCTCCTCCTCCTCCTCGTCCTCCCCCTTCTCCTCCGTCTCCTCCCCCCCACCCCCTCCTCTCCTCCTCCTCCCCATCCTCCTCCTCTCCTCCTCCTCCTCCTCCTCCTCGCTCCTCCTCCTCCTCCTCCTCCTCTCCCCTCCTCGCCTCCTCCTCCTCCTCCTCCTCCCCTCCCCCTCGTCACCCCCGTCTCCTCCTTCTCCCTCCCCCCACCCTCCCCCCCCTCTCCTCCTCTCCTCCCCATCCTCCTCCTCCTACTCCTCCTCCTCCTCCTCCTCACTCCTCCCTCCTCCTCCTCCTCCTCCTCCTCCTCATCCTCCC